GGCGGCCTCAAACCCGCCCGGCCTCGGCGGCCCCTGGCCATGACGGCCTGAAGCTCGAAGCCAGGAGCCGAGAGGAACTGCCAGGGGAAGGCGGCTGGACCCAGCCCAATCCGCCCGGTTTTGAAATAGTAAAACTTTATTGGTAAATACCTTCCCCAGCGACCGAGGCAGTCGCCGGAGCGTTTAGAGAAGTGGGAGGACCTAAGAAGCGAAGGCCCAAAGCGCTCCGGCTGGCTGTTCCTGATCTGAACCGGAAACGACAGCGCCCGCGGTGGGCGGGGCCGAAACAGGAAGAGAAACGACGGGGAGCGGGAAGGGCCTCGCCATGCGCATGCGCACTTCCCGCCGACTGTTGGGGGCAGGGCGGTCCGTGAGGGTGTGGGAACGTAGCTAAGGAAGACCTGGAGTGGCAGAGAAGGTCGCAGCCTTTGGTCTCAGGCTTTTGCCCTTGCGAAGCATACTACTTGACGTTATTCACTATTTTTTGATTTTGCAACTTGTATTTTTAGGTATTATTTTGTACTTAATCATACTCCTTAGTTCACAGAACATCAACAACATGGGCCCATGGGCGGCCCTTCTGTTTGGGGAGTGGAGGTGGTTTTTGTTTTACTGTAGCTCTATATCTCTATTCATCAGTCCCATTACCTCCTTTCTGTCTATATGAGTACCCACTCTCACTTGTGTGGTTTATGTCCTTAAATATAAATCTGTCCTTATAAAATGTTTCATGTCTATTTCTTTTACATAAATAGTATTTGATTAAAATGTTTTAAAAATGAATATGTTATTAATTTTATTAGTTATAATATAGTAATTAATAATATACTAAGCGCTGCATAGTATTTCAAGATATATGTATACCACATATTATTTAGTCCACTAGTTGTCAACATCTAAATTATCTCCAATTCTCAACACAATCAATAGCACAATGAAAAAGCGAGCCTTGTTCGTGCCATTTTATGGACCTGTGCACTCATTTCTTTGGGATAGGTAGCAAGGAATGAGATTTTTGGTTTATAGGGCAAACATTTGATTTCACTATGTTCCACTAGATGGTTTTCCAGAATGGCTGTATACCTTTACCCTCTCACCAACAGTGCGCAGGAATGTTAGTCACTCTTGTATTTTTTTGCCATTTTTATGAATGTAAAGAGGTACTTTACATTTGCACTTCTCTGATTACCAGAGGATTTCATTTATTTGTTGAAATGGCTATTTGGACTTTCCCTTCTGTGAATTGCCTATTTATATCTTTTTGCCTATTTCTTGGCGGATGTGTGGTTTGTTTTTTTGGGTTTTTTTTGGCAGTTCTTTCTATAAACTAATCCTTTACAGATATCTACTCTCAATCTGTTATATATCTGATAATTTTGTAGTTTTTTTTACTGAACAGAAATCCTTAATTTTTTTATTTAACTTCATTTTATTTCATATGCTTTATGATTTGAGCTTTTAAACCTTATTCATAAAGTCTTTTCCCATCCTAAGTCATATTTTCTTCTATAACATTATAATTTTAACTTTCACATTTAGTTCTCCACTCCAACTGGAGGGATTCAGATGTATTTTTCCACATAATGGCCTAGTTTTCTTCAGACCATCTCCTTTACATCCCTTTGTAGTACCACCTTTATCATCTATCAATTCCCATATATGTATGGGTCTATTTCTGAGCTCTCTATTCTGTTTTGTTTGTATACTAGTCTGTTCCTAAGCAGAACCATTCTATTTTCATCACTTTGGTTTTGTAGTATATATTAATATCTGGTGGGAAAAGTTGCTACTCTGCTTTTACTTTTCAAAATTGATTTATTCATGAACCCCTGTTTTCCATATAAATATTGGAATGAGTTTGTTGAATTCCTCAAACAATCCAATGGGATTTTTATTAAGATTTCATTGAATTGTATAGCTTTCTTTGGGAAGAATTAACAAAAACTTTACTATGTTAAGATATCCCATCCAAAAAGAAGGGGGGAAAAAGATATTCTATCCACATACATTCTTTTTTTGTTCCATTTATTCATTCTTGTTTATACTTTAATAGGGTTCTAATACTTTTCATGACAAAGGTCTTAGGCATTCTTTCTTAGTTTTTTTCTTAGGTACTCTGTTGTTTTATTGTGAATAAATTCACATTTTCTAGTATATTTGACACAGGGGAAAAAGTCAAAGTAATGGATAGGTTTCTAGCTTGGACAAAGGAGGTAGGAACTATTGGAGGAGAGTATGCTGCATGGGGGAGGGCAGGATGCTTTAATTTTTATTTTACCGGTAATACTGAGTTTGAGGTGCCTGTAGGGCATTCATTACAGATGTTCAGTAAGTAATGAGTATTCCAGAAACCCATCTAAAACTTAAGAAACAGAAACTAATAGAACTAGTACTGTATAAAGCAAACACAAATGGCCTCAAGGGCTGAGGAGGTAAAGTCAATGAATGGATAGAACAGTTAACAGCCCACTACTGATTCTGGAGAACTGAAGGACCATGTAGGAGTGGACCCAGTGTTGCAGAGCTTCCAGTTTTTCCAGAAAAGCCAGAAATTTGGATTTTTATGTGAAATCTGTTTAAAAATAATGGTTCAAGTTAGAAAGGTAATTTCTGACATCATTATTATATCTTCACAATACATGTGTGCTGCAGGGACTGTTCCAGTGTCCTCTGATTTTTACCATCACTGCTGTCTGTCCCTCTCCTCCCCTTTCTTTGTTTTCTCATGTCTCTTTCCC